AGAAGCTTTTACATTTCTAATACACAACAAGGTCTAATTTATAAATGCATTGCATCTAAATCATAAAATTTTGCTAGCTCGAGTACTTTTAAAGAAGCACACATTTTTGCATCATAATCTAGCATATATTTATATGCTATTTAAGTTATGTAAAAAAAAAAATGGTTTAGATATCAATGTGCATTTAAAATGTATAGCTTAATAATATAGTTAATATAATTTCTGTCTGGCAGAATCGAAATGTAAAATTATCAATAATTCAGTTTATTAGCTGTTAAGTTTGTCTTTGCTCTTTTAATAATTTAATAAAATAACATATTACTAAAAAGTTGTGTATTCTGTTTTCTGATTATTCTTGGTATAATTCACAGATTCTAAATTATTATAATCAGCATTTCAACTAGCGATGTAAACTAAACCCAACAGTTTGGAATTCCAAAGGTTTTTACTAGATTCGGCAATTATGTCGTAACTGCGTTGTAACCCAAAATTGTGTATCGCTAGCTAGAGCCCAAATCATAAGGGGTATTGTCTAGTAATGTAGGAGAATTGTTTTCACAATTCCCTGCACTATCATATATACCACGCTTGTTTCGTTCTGTGTCATGTTTATTTTGTATGTATAGTTGATTAGTTCTTAAAGTTTGCTATAAAAAGATTGTATATCCTATGATTAGTAATAATATTCTGTATAGTACATATCGATTTTAAAACTATACAATACTGATCAGCTAAAATAGAATTCATAATTCTAATATTATAACGTGAGATCAGTATAGTATAATTTTTTTTGAATCAGCCTTTACTATACGGATCTAGTCAATTAAACCATATTGATCAGTATATCTTAGATATCCATAGAAATAATATGATGGTCCTAAAAACTTATCTGTATTATCAGCCTTTTCTGCAACAAAATCATATAAGGTTCTTACAAAAATGTGTATTCATAAGATAAGTTTGTCTCTATGTATTAAAAAAAGTTCAACTGCATCAATAAAAAGTAAAATCAGTTAAAGATATAATCAGTTATAAAATATCAAATTCATGAAAAACTCAACACAGCGATAGCAATAAGTAGGCACACATATACATGTATAAAAACATATACTCGTATTTTGTGAATTAAAGTACTCTTCATGCTAAATAGTATAAATCTCCTTCTTGAATACTTGTTATATACAAATGTGATGTGCATTAATTGTGATATTTAATTTTTTATGTGTAAAGAAATTTGCATCATGCGGGTACACTTATGCCTAGAGTATTTGTTGTGCAAACATTCTTATTGTTTTGATATTTAATAATTATAAGCAATTTGAGTAATTATATATACCTCTAAAGCGCATTAAAAAAAATTAAAAAAAAAAAAATGCAAACATTTTTAGATACTCCAAAATTCAATAAAAAATTAATATTCAAAAATCCCTCAAACCTATATGAAAACTTTTGCAATGCATATGCATATTATTTGGCTATTTCTATGGGATCCCTGTCTTCTAAAAAACAAGATATTTTTATAAAAGCTCAAGAAGAGTGAAAGACTATACGAAATTTAAATGAAGAAACTATACAAAATAAAATAAATAATTATTTATAAACATCTTTAAGGCCTATTCAATATACTTCTTTTATGCCTACTTCAGTTATATCAAATGAAATTAGTTCCCCTATATCTATACTATCCACATTCTCATCTTCTATAATAGAATCTGAAAAACTGCACTATAATGCGACTGCTCAAAAAAATTCTTTAGCTAAACAAGAATGTGCTGAAAAATAGCTTAATGAATTAAATGAGTTGTATAATGTTGCATGTGATTCTAAATGATGTCATGATTTTTTAGTTCAAATTAATGAAACTAAACAAGAAATTGAAGTGGAAAAAAAAAAGAGGCAAAAATTAAAGAAACATGCTGCTGCACAAGCCAAAAGTCAAGCAAAAAAACGTGAAGCTTTAGAAACCAGAGGGGAAGTTATTAGATACGATTCACCTGGGTGTCCCTCTTTTCTTCTTCTAAATTCCGATCTTCCTGAACAGATGCATTCATGTATCGAGTTTGGTACTGCTGCCAAAAAAAGGTGAAAAAAAATTATTAAAGTATGCACCATTTTTCATTTAAAAAAAGAAATAGAAGAAAAATATCAAATTTACATGTCATGCACCTGTTTATATACATACACTTGGCCCAGAAAAATTAATTCTTCGAATGCCAAAAGACACCACCATCCTATGGCTATTTAGATAAACTTTGTATCTAGAAATGAAATGCCTGAACATATAGACGAGCACTATTGTTTGCAAATGGTCAAAAATGCAAAACAATTTGCTAGTGCTTTTGCCTCTCATTCTGTGATTATATTACAAGATGATAAGGCAAAAGTTCTACTTGGAATACTGGCAGTTGGGAGAACATTTAAAACCATGCAATATTCTCATGAACCAGTTGTGATACCTGGTAATTATATATAAGCAAATATGTTAAAATCTCTATAAGTGTATATCTTCTCTAAATGCACATTTAAATTCGGGTCCAAATATATATATATATATATATATATATATGACCTCTGTAAATGCACTTTTCTTATTGTTCTCTAAGTGCATATTGTTAAAAATTTGTCCCAAGTGCCTGCACTTATAGAAGGTTTACTGTATATAAATTTTTTAAGCTTGGTTTTAATTATTATTATTATTAATTAAAAGATTATGACTTTCCTCGAGGAAGTAAACAAAAACTAATACCTTCAGTTTATCTTACGATTGACCCAGAAGGTTCAAATAACTCATTACGTAATAGTCAATTAACAATTTTTATCTGCCTACAATGGTTGATCAAGACTTCCTCTTTAACTCATATAGTTGACATAATTGCTATAATGGAAAATCCTGTTTTAAATAATATGCTAAAATTAGAAAATGAATTCAACCCAATTCTGGTTTTGCTTGTTGACGGTGGTCCCAACAAGAACCCCAGGCACTTCAAAAATATAAAAGAATACTGTAAATTATTTATAGAATTAAATTTGGATTACTTAACTGTCAGAACCCATGCCTCTGGACAATCTGCCTACAATTCTGTAGAGTGTAGCATGTCTACTCTCTTAGGAAAGTTGGCAGGTATTGTCCTACCTATTGATCATTTTGGCTTACATCTTGATTCTAATGGCATTATTGAGAATATAAACCTTGCAAAGTGAAATTTTTGTTATGCTGATGAAAAGCTATGTAATATTTGGCGATGAGACTATATTCATGATAAAGAAGTAATTGTTGAATATATTGATGAGCAAATTGACAATTTTAATAAAGTTTCAGATATACCTTGAGGCTGGATAGAAAATCTTTGCCAAATATATCAGTACTCTTTGGACATTCGAAAATGCAATGATGTTAATTGTTGTTCTACATGGAGAGTTGAAGAAGCAGCTGCTTTGTTAGCTAAGAACAATAGATTTTTGCCACCATCTATTAAAGGCCGAGATAGTTATTTTCTTAATTCTATCCACATACTTCAGTATATAGACAAATTAAAAATTCCAGGCTTCGATCAACATTGTCTCTCGATTTCTTCTGAACTCCATTCAAGATTAGTCTGCCCTACCTGTTATCGGTATTTTCCTACCATGACCTTTCTTTCTTAGCATAAAAAGTTTAAACACTTTCCTCTTACTCACAAACACAAAAAGTCTATGACTCGTGTAGCAACAGATGATTATATTTCTAGCTCTTTTTCAAATGAAGTAGAAATGTTAGATATTTTTATTCCATATTTTTCTGATAGTGAATAATATAATACGATGATCATGTAAATTCTGTATTGTCAGAATAATATATAAAAATTTGATGTTTGTATTTAATTGTTAAAACTTATGAATTATAAAAGGATATTGTCATGGTGAAGAACAGTATGCAGTGTATCTTGTAAGGGGAATAGATCTAGAATGCTAGGGGAGTAGGTAATTAATTAGGTTAGTAAAAAAAAAAAAAAAAAAAAAACTTATAAATATACTTAGTTTAAAAAAAAGAAGTATTAAACATTTGTTGAGTGTCGTGTTCATGTGACCACATGATGATTATGATTGGGATCAAAGATTGCATGCATAACAGAAAAATAGCATAATTAATTAATTAAGTAGGGATCAGTATTGTGTTGGAGTACAATAGTAGTTAATTTGCATAAAATTTGTAAGTAGTTAATTTAAAAGTTAAAATGGTGTGACCCAATTATGATGTAATAAATGTTAGTCAAAAGGGTATTTATAGGCAAAGTGAAAAATAAAGAATTAGTCAGTGATTTATTTTCAAATATATGCTGTTAGTAATAAAATAAGTAAAGTATATACCTTAGGACTACTTCAAAAGAGTCGTAAGAGAAGTTTTAATGTGGTACTTGCTAAGAGAGCTAGGTCATTTAGTAACCTGAGTTACTAATTAATCCATGACAATATTGAAACTGCCCTTGAGCAGAAAATAGATATACTAAGTAGATTAAGTTAAAAAAAAAAATTTAAACTGCTTACAAAATTTACTTGAATAGTACAGTACCATATTGTGCTGCCTACTGTATCCTAGTAAAGTATCCCCTTTTATAGAGTCAGGATATAAATGTTAGCATTTTTTGAAAGTACTCTGTATCATATTATTAGGTTTCATAAGAGATACCTTGCATA